ATTCCGGCTACTTGGAGGCTGAGGCGGAGGATTGCCGGAGCCCAGCAGGTCGAGGCTGCGGTGGCCGACAGCGGCCACTGCACTCCAGTCTGGGCGACAGAGTGAGACTCCAACTCAAAAAAAAAAAAAAAAAAAAAAAAGAAAGGCATCATTGCCTAAAAATAAACCCTGAATTCTGGTCAACATTCCAATCTCACCAGTAAAAAGCCTATAAAATGAACCTTTTCCCAATTCTTTTATAAAGAAGAGGAGGGGGAGAAGGAAATCTTCTCAAACAAATGTGTTACATGAATATAGAAAATTTTCAGCAATATAAATATACAATATTGATACCAAAACACAGCCAGCCCTATCTAGTAATATATTTAGCCCATGTACAAGGTTGTAATACGCTGCATAAAAATTTTTCAGAATAAACTTTATAAACAAATATCACTGAACTGCATCTTTCACTGCATTTCCTCACCCCCCAAAAGGGGTAAAACACACTTCCTTCATGCTCTTAAAAATTAGATCCTAAGTCCCTCTGGGGAAAAAAGGTTGACTTTAAGTTGTAAATAATTTATGAAAGAAATATTATCACAAAATGTTTTAAAAAAGTAAATTCCTACAAATATTTTATTATCATCAAATAGAAGTTATTAGAATGTTTATATTCTGTTTTGCTTCTGGGTGTTATTACACTACAAAAATATCAATCATCAATATGGATCACACCAGAGAACTTCATACTTCCTTTCATCTTGACTGTCCCTTGTTCTAAAACATAGTTTAAAAACCCTTATTTTAAAAATACTTTCAAAATAAGCATAATGCAAAAATGACTTCTACTTTTGAGAAGACCTTACAAAAAGGTTTTTGAAAAGAATGCCAGTCAACTGATCCTACCTATTTATCTTATGAGAAATTATGTATCTATTTTATACCAAAATTTTTTAAAAACATGCACAACACATGCATACACACACAATTAACCTTGCAGATCTGTTTCCTACCAGTTATGTCCCCAAGTCATTATCACTCTTGAAGAAAAGTAAAGAGCAAATGCAAGGCAGAATACCAATAGCTAAATTTTGGTTGCATTATCAGATGAGGAGCAAGATACCACAGGGCACAGAAAGGCTGAAAGAGGTTGTTGCAAATGCAATTTGATGCTGAGGACAACCAGAAAGACACAAGACATGGGCCAACTAAAGAGCTGCCACAAGGTAGCACTTTGCAGCAAGGGGAATTAAAAACAGGTAGAAAGAAAATGCTTAGTTTACATGGGAGAAGTATCAGAGCTGCTGTAGTCAAAAAGGGAAATATCAACTGGAAGCAAAATGAATACCCACCCCGGACTGAGATGGGAATCTGGATAGAGTTAGAAGAACAGAATCTCGTGAGGAACTGCTGAGAAAGCAGGCCCTCCTACAATGTAGTGACGTCCTTCTTGCCTCTTGTGTAAAAATTGTTCAACATCAGTAATCAACAGCAAAGTGCAAATCAAAGCTACAATGAGGTATCATGTCCCCCAATTAAAATAGCTATAATCGAGAAGACCAAAATATAACAAACACCAGTGAGGTAACAAATACCATTCTGACTTTGTCTCATTATTGTGTGCAGCTTTATTCTTATCTCTCCCTCTCTTGTTTTAAAATAGTAAATTATGACTTTTTAAAAACATTTGAACTTCCCTTTAACAAACATTAAAATTGCCCCTTCCTCCTATCTTAATTAGTTGCTAAGTTACTCTTCAAGGATGACTTTTAATTGCTTCAATCCTTGAAGTTCTTGAGAACACCAACAATTCAATTATAGTGAAGATAAAAACAAAATTATTAAATTCCTTGAACTTCATATTTCAATATAACTCCATGACCTCTGAATAAATAGCTCAGCAAAAAATGAATCACAAGTTAAATACAAATGAAAAACACTTTTTCCTAATTTAAATTTATCTATCAACATGAAACTCAGTACCTGTCCAAAAGGCACAAAAGGAGGCGGTCCACCCTCAGTTCCAATGTTGCTTCTATTGTGTTTTGATAAGCTCTGTGGAAAAATCCAGTTGTAAAACAGAATTTATACATAAAAAATATATTTCCAACATTTATAATGTAACAGAAATGCACTTATTTGAGTAATTATTATAAAAACAGGAAAAGAAAATCTTCTACAAATTATTTGAAACTATATAGACTATTTTATCTCTAACTTAATTAGGCAAAGTCTCTTCCCACATTGCCCCTTACCAAAAACACACATTCACACATAATTTTCAGAAACATTTATCAAGTTGTTCTTATAAGGAGAAAACAGTCCTTTTCAAAAAGTAGCAAAGACAAAGACAACAAGCTTTGTAACAAGAATTCCATCTCAATGCATATTAAAACTATAATATAAAACAAATATTGCCTGAAAATTATCTTCAAAATGAAGTTTTTAGATATAACATTTATTAGCAAAGAACATTCTGATAAAGCTAATTCTCTAAATATTTAAAGAAATCCGATTGTTATAGCTTATAACAAAAGATTCTTTCAGTTACAGTAAAATTTCCTTAATATAGTAATGTTCGTTTTGTAAAACAATTCAGTTTGAGGAAGTATTCAACTAACTGATAATTCTTTAATAAAAACGAGATTCCAAACCCTACTCATTTTATTATTCTTTTTTATGAACTCAGAATTTGAGAGATAAAAATGTGTTATGATAATACAGAGAGGGGAAGATGGCATCCAAGTCAGTTGGACTATGCAAGTCCCGCTGTGAGTGAGTGAGTGTGTGGAAAATTTTGTGTATGTGCTGGTTAGCAAGTGGGCACATGAGTGGCTGACTGAGGGGTAGGGAGCTAGTGGCCAGGGCTCTCCTGGTGCAGCAACTGGTGCCACAACTGCTGGGCTTGGACTCTAGCAAACCTGGGACGCAGAAGCCCAGTGCCATTTTCTTTTTCTTTTTCTTTTTTTTTTAATCAACAAATCCTCCCTGGGAAGAAAATGCTGGGAGAGACTGTCTAAGTGGGGACTCGAGTAAGCAGCCAGGTCCCTGGTGCAACAGCTGGTGCTGCAGTTTATCTGCTTCATCCCTGGCTCTTCCCAGGTCACAGAAGCCGAGTGCCATTATTTTTTTTTAATGGACAGAAGTTTTCCTGTGAAAAAGCAGCGGGGATAAACTATTGCCCCAGGCTCTCCCTCACCACTGCAGCAGAAAAGAGACTGCCGGCTCCTGGTTTTGCCTCACCACTTCAGTGAGGCAGAGCCCCAGGCAAAGTCCCACGGAAGAGGAGAAGAGAGGCACCCCACCACCATCTTGAGGCGGGGCAGTGGATCAACTACTGCCCTGCCTCAAGATGGTGGTGGGGTGACTGGTGAATCAACTACTCAGGGATTGATGGTGACGCAGAGGAAATATCCTGAAAGCACAAACTTCAGAGGGACCTGATGAGTGCTGAGTTCCTGGAGCCCCAACCCCTACCCTGATCCAGCCACAGGACAAGGGTGGGGCCAGAAAACAACCAGGAAGGACTCCAAAGAGATCAGTAGTGAGTCCCGGGCTGACCCAAACTCCTCCCTAGCAATCCTTGGATTGTCAGAACCACACAGCTGGACCACAGTCCCAAAAGGAGAACTCCATTCTAAGATAAGCCTGGCTGGAGCACTCGCCTCGAGTACATACCTGGGGAAGAGACAGTCCCGTACTTCCCCACCAGAGGAGATCTCCCTGACCATATGAGGAGAGGAGGACTGCAGCCCCACCCACCTCCACTGCCCCTCCTCCTTCCCTGCTCCGGACACTGAGGAGAGAGTGAAAGAGGTGGCTCTGCAGGAGAGAACTCATTAGAGGAACAATTACAGAGCCTCCCACAAGAGGGCAGATATTTTTTCTTTTTTTTTTTTTTTTGACGGTTTGTTAGTTCATCTATTTTTAAATATTTTTCCTTTCTGCATGAATGTGTATGTGAGGATTTGATTTGCATCTTCCAAAATTGTTTTTCTTTTCTTTTTCTGTTTTTTCCTTCTTTTATTTATTGTTTTCCATTTATGGGTGCATGTGAATGATTGAGTGTTCATCTTTCAATCTGTTGTTCTAGGGTTTTTTTTTCATTTTTTCTAGTTTAAGGTGCATACAAATATATGTGTGAGGTTGACCTGAATTCTTTTTTTTTCTTTTTCCTTCCTCCAGTCTTCCTGTTTTTCTTCTCTATTTACTTTGTGCTAGACACGTGTGTGTGTGTTTCGTTTTCTTAGTTTTTTGTTGTTTGTTTTGTTTCTCTATATTATTCCAGTTTGTTATGGGGAGTGTGTCTGTATGTCTGTGTGTGTTAAATTGTTTTTTACATTGGTTTCTGCTTTGCTTCATCAAATAGAGTGGTGGTGGAGAGCGGGTCTCAGGGAACACATACCACAATAAGTGAACATTGTAATTTGCAAGTAGTTTCTGAATTCTAGTCCCCATCGGCTACTTTATTCAAATTTCAAAAACTATAAGAGACAGCAAAGCTTCCATCCACTATCCTATTTCAAAACAGAACAAATCCAGAGCCCAGATCAGGGAAGAATAGAGGACTGAACAAACATCAGAAGGGAAAGCCCCTCCCACTGACACTGAATAACAGAACTAAAGAGAAAAACAAGAGATTTGTCACAAATGAAGAGAAACTAACATTAGACCACAGGTAATTTCAAGTATAACAAAGAGATAAACACCAGAAAAATCAGACCTGGGAGTCCAAACAATGGAAGTCAGCAAGGACTGGCCCCAGAATACAGCAGGGATTAGGGACTGAATGAAAATGAGTGAATAAGACTCAAGAAAAGCAAGATGTAACACTGAAAGAACTTGTAACAGATATTTTGGCAATAAAAAATTTCATCAAGGAAATAATAAGCTGACAAGCATGGAAAGCAGAATTAATCAAGCAGAAGAAAGAATCTCTGAACTTGAAGACCAGAACATAGAATTAACCCAATATGCAAAAAACATAAAAAGAAAACTCAGGAATAAAGAACGAAGCTTACAAGAGATGTCCAGCTATATCAAGAGGCCAGACCTACACTTGACTGGTATCCCAGGAGAGGGAAATGGAGAACACCTTGGAACAAGTATTTCAGGAGGTTATCCAAGAAGACTTTCCCCATCTTGCCAGAGATGTGACCCACCAAAGACAAGAGATACAGAGAACCTCCACATGACATCAAATGAGAAGATCAACCCCTAGACATATAGTAATTCACTTACACAAAGTGGGCACAAAAGAAAAAATTCCTAAGGCAGCAAGAGAGAAAGGTTAGACTTCTTTCCAGGGAAAACCAATCAAAATAGCAGCAGACCTATCAGCCGAAACACTACAAGGCAGAAGGAACTGGAATCCAATATTCAAAGTCCTCAAAAATAAATGATGTCAACCAAGAATTTCCTACCCAGTCAACCTCAGCTTCATCAGCAATGGAGAATTAAAATCCTTCCCAGACATCCAATTCCTAAGAGAATACTCAGCTTCCAGACCGGCTCTATAGGAGACACTTAAAAGGTAGGAAGCACAGAAAAATGAATGATCATACACTTTCCAAGAGAACAGCAGAACACAGAATTGCAACAGCAAACTTGATTTACATCACAACAGCAAGCTTGAAACATACACACACATCAACCCAAAAGTTAAAAGAAAATGAACAATGAAAAAACTTTATAGGAACCTCATGATGGGGATAAACAATCACATCTTAATAGTCAGCCTGAATATGAATGGACTAAATACACCACTAAAAAGACACAGAATGGCAAACTGGATAAAAAAACCATGACCCACGTATTTGCTGCATCCAGGAAACTCATCTCACAACATGGAATCACAGTCTCAAAGTTAGAGGATAGAAAAAACGTTTCCAGGCAAATGGATCACAAAAGAACGTAGGAGTCACAATCTTAATATCAGACAAAACAACTTTTAAGATACGAAAATTTTAAAAAGATACAAAAGGACACTACATAATGATGAGATTCTATCCATAAACAAGAAATATACATCCTAAACATATATGTATCAAACACAGAAACACCAGCATTTATAAAGCAACTACTAAAAAACAAAAAAAGATATTAACTCTAATACTATTATAGCTGGAGATTTAAATATGCCACTAACAACGCTAGATAGATCATTGAAGCAAAAACGACAACAAAGATCCAAAACCTCAACTTGACGCTTCACTAAATGGACTTAATAGACACGTACAGAATAGTCTACCCAACAACCATAGAATATACATTCTACTCACATCAACATGGAACATACTTCAAGACTAATCACATCCTTGGCCATAAATCAAGCATAAACAAATTCCGTAAGATCATAATACTGCTATGCACCTTCTCAGATGACAGTGAGATAAAAATAAGTATCAATGCAAACAAAATTCCCACAAAATGCACAAAGACAAGGACACTGAACAGCATGATGCTGTACAATACTGGGTTAACACAGAAATCAAAAAAGAAATTAAAAGCTTCCAGGAAACAAAGGAAAATGAAGAAACATCTTTCTGAAACCTCTGGAATGCCATGAAAAAAGTTCTAAGAGGGGAATTTATATCTCTATGAACGCTCATCAAGAAAATGGAAAGATCACAATCTAATAACCTAATAAATCACCTAAAGGACCTGGAAAGACAAGACCATCAAAACCCTGACTTCAGCAGAAGAATACAGATCACCAAAGTAAAAGCCCAAATTCAGGACACAGAAGACAAAAACATCATAGAAAAAAAAAAAAAAATCAACAAAACAAAAAGCTAGTTCTTTGAAAGAATAAATAAGATTGTTGAACCCCTTAGCGAGAATGACCAAGAAAAAGAGAGAAAAAGCCCAAATGAGCACAATCAGAAATACAAAAGATCAAGTCACAATTGACCCTGAAGAAATACAAAAGATTATCAGAGACTATTATGCACACCCGTATGGAAACAAACTTGATAACCTAAATGAAATAGAAGATTTTCTGACATCACACAACCTCCCAAGGTTGAAACAAGAAAACATCAAAACACTAAATA